TGTTGATTTGGGGAGCCATGTCATCTGCTGGTGTTGGTCCACTGTGCTTCATTAAGTCCAGGGTCAACGCAGCCGTCTACCAGGAGATTTTGAAACACTTCATGCTTCCTTCCGCAGACTAGCTCTATGGGGATGCTGACTTCATTTTCCAGCAGGACTTGGCACCTGCCCACACTGCCAAAAGCACCAAAACCTGGTTCAATGACCATGGGTTTACTGTGCTTGATTGGCCAGCAAACTCGCCTGACCTGAACCCCATAGAGAATCTATGGGGCATTGCCAAGAGAAAGATGAGAGACATGAGGCCGAACAATGCAGAAGAGCTGAAGGCCGCTATTGAAGCATCCTGGGCTTCCATAACACCTCAGCAGTGCCACAGGCTGATAGCTTCCATGCCATGCCGCATTGAGGCAGTAATTGCTGCAAAAGGTAGGCCAAACCAAGTACTGTGTACATATATATCAGGATACATTCTTTACTCCCAGGTCCAACATTTATGACACCCCACTCACCCCCCCTCCCTAACAACTTTCTCTTGCTTAAAAACATATGCAGTCTTTCTTTTACAATTAATGTAGGTTGCATCCAAGACAAAAGAATTCCTAGAGCACTAATAGTTTTCTAAAGACAACAAAGCTGAAGATGTCACCTAAATCGGGCGGACGGCAACCTCTTCCCGACGTTCCTGGACATAAATTTTATTGGTACTGGCTGTTACATATAAGTCTTCAGGCGGTTCTTCAGCCGTTCAATCGCTTGTATGACAACAAACAGCATGCACCCCCCCTCCACCGCCGCTGGTTATCCCAAGCTCCTCTGCCCCCCTGCAGGCCCAGGACCGACACAGCAGCTGTTTAGAAGTGATAACAGAGGAGAGTTCAGAATTCTCCTACTTGCTGATCTCTCCTCCTCTCTCTCTAAAGGCGGAAGCGGTGTGTATTACATCACTCCTGCCTTTAGCTGTCATTTCTCTGGCTGCTATAGCCAGAGAGGAAGCTGATGAAGCAGATCTCTGCTTTATCAGCTTCTTTGGGGGTCCCTAGGTGACATTAAGGGTCTTAAGAGACCCCCAATGTTTCCATAAAGAGGACCTGTCATTGTATATATGTTATCAGATAGGGGGCTTGTTAGCTCCCTATGTGATAGCAATAAAGTAAAAAAAAAAGTTGTAAATTTTTTTTGACATCACATATAAAAAAAAAATAATTAAGTTCCCTGCCTCTGCGTGCACGCACATATAAACGTAAATACGGGTGCGCCTGTGTGCGAAAACAACGATTACACCACAAGTTACATATCACTGTGGATGTCAGAGTGCGAGCAATAATTCCACGCCGTCACCGATAACATTAAACTGATGAGCAGTAAAAGCTTTTAAAGCGTCGCATATGGCCAATTTTAGGTATGGAAATTTATGGAGATTTCGCGGGCACATGCAAATTTAAAGCTTGACATGTTTGGTGTCTATTTACCCTACATGACCCCATTTTTTATATTTTACCAAAAAATTGGGTACAAATAAATGTTTTATAACATAACGTAGTGAAAACAAGTTTTTTTCCGGTACTTTTTCATTATATAGTACAAAAAAAAACCCCAGTGGCAATTAGAAAAGCTCTATCTGTCCACAATAAAAAAAAATTTATTTCTGTAGTGCTGCATGACGGAATAAATGTCAAAGTACTGCAGCGCTGAGTACTGAAAAATGGCCTGGACAAGGGGGTTTGAAACCCCAGTCATCAAGTGGTTAAAGTAATTTCTTACCTCAGACCTGATCTCAGACTCCAATGTCCAGTCCTCAGGAGCTGTTAACAAATGACCAAACATTAATTTGACAGAAACACTAAGCGATGTTACCAACAAGTTGGTATTAAATGCAACCAAAATTTCAGAACATTTAATTGTTACACCCCTTGTATATGAACATACAAAAATCAGCTTCAGTGATTTAAAAGGACAATTTAGGAAACTATGATTCCAGATCTTACTTTTCTTATTCATATCTTTATTACACAATATATAATAAAATTAAAGGCTATAGGCTTCCAAAGTTGAAAATGCAGTGACAGGAGGTGAAGTATCCTTCAACTGATATTCTGCAGTGATATAAAGTGAATGAGTGTATAATAAAATGTGTGAATGATAATGTTAT